ATCAATTAAGCTATGTAAAAACTTATATTATTATCAAATAATACCTATAAGCACCATATTTTTTCATGTTTGCATGCAAAAGTTATCTAATGCTGACTGAAACAGTAAAATAATCTCAATAATTGAAAATAACACAATATAAACATGTGAAGAATAATTCTGTTCATAGTGGTTCATTGTCTAGTAAAATGTTAGTCATTCTTTGTGCACATGTTGGAAAATAATGTCGAGGGTTAGTATTCAATACACAAAATTACACAGGACAGGTATAAACAGAAAAAGTTGTACTAATGCAATAACCAAATACTGAATTTCTCATATTTTTTTTTCTTTTTAACTTCTAAAGTTACTTCTGGAAGTTTATTGATTATCAAATTTAACGAGAAATACGATTCTTCCATGGTGACATTGTTTTTTTTTTAAATAGGAAACATAATTCATGTACAAAAAGACAACTCACAACAAGTAAGTATGTCCAAAAAAATACTCACAAAAATAAATTATCCATTACGTAATCATAATCCCTACGACTTCGGTCAGCAAGGTAACAAGCACTGAATACTATAATAGCATTTTTATTAGGTCCATAGTAGCCTGAAAAATATTAAAAGCTTTATAAACAAAATGTCCGTGATTTTAAACTAAAATAAGATATAAAGTTTTCCCATAATTCCCAAAGGAAGGATTCTTGTATTTCAAACTGACCATCTTTTACTGTTCCTTTTTTAGTCGAATAAAAGTTTTAACTTCCAAAGCACTTTAAGACTGGATTAGATAAAGAAAAATTCACCAATATTCTCAAAAAATCAACAAAATTCAGGAAAGACTGGAAAATGCAAAAAAAAAAGAGAGATTATTCAAACATAGTTACATTTACAAATTAAAAGGGTAATACTTTAAAAGTGTGTTAAATCTAGCATCTTATATTACGAATTTAACTGACAAACTCTAACTTTAAAACTGTTATAAAGTTCACTATATAGACTGAGAATCAAAAAGTCCTCTCATCCTCTAAATAAAGAAAAAATGGCATATTTTTAACAACTTGCTAAACAGATATTTAAATAACCCACCTACTAATCTAGTGTGCTGTTTCTAGCTACATGGAAATAATTTTGGTCACTCAATTCAAACATTCATAAACATCTTAAACTCGAGGTTTGAAGGTATTTTCAATAATACGATTTTAGGCTACAGCAGTTTTCAGCCAATTCCATTTCTAACAAAGATTGGTTCAATGTGTTTTGGAGTTTTATAATATTTTCTATGTATTAAGCTTTGTAAGATTAAATACGTAAGAAAAGTGAATGGGTTTTGTTTAACATTAAAACCTCCACCCTCAGCCTTGAGCTACTGATGTATGTTTATTTTCTTGCATTTTCTATGATTAAATAACCCTATGGGCACGAGTAGAAGTCAGAGGGCACGTCATTACATTTGTAGACTTATATTAAAAATTTAATTCAATTATTATTTTATAAATGTATGTTAATAAAGTTTGGTACCAAATTGTAGATTATAATTCAAATTTTAATTTTATACATAAATTAATTTCTTATTTTGAAAGTAAATATATAAAAAAAGGATAAATATTGATTTTTGTGTCACGTGGTACGTCGCCTTCTGGGTTTGGTTGGATTACATTTTATGACGCCCACAATACAATGTCTGTAGTTTAGAATAGAAACCCGGATTTCTGATATTGGCAAGCTAGAATATAAAATAAGAACCTCATACATTTTCTATTTGCCGAGATATCTCAATATTTAGCGAATCCACCACATTGGCTCTGTCCACCACTTCATCATTTGTGAGGACTTATTTATCTATGCCTACTTTTATATACCAATAACTATAACCCATCGAAAGTTTTATATTTCTTCTACATAATTCTATCACTCTTCCTAAGTTATTTATGAGAGAAAAGCTAATATATTGTGGGAAAATTTGAAATATTATGATTAAAGCTATTTACTGAACAGAAATTAGATTTTGTTTTAACCAAAATACAATTTAGTTAGGAAGCCTGGTAAATTACAGTGGATTTTTGGGGTATCGGTGTAGTAATTTATAATTTTTTGGTATTCCAAAATGCTTATATATATATAGTCTATAAAAATTATCATTTTTCCATCTCCACATGTGAATTTGGACGAGTCTTACAACAAGTACAACTCGTGAGTGCAAACAAGGACGTTATATCATAAGTAGTAGAAATCACTGTTTTCCAAATATTTTTTATTTACTGTCCTATGTTTTAAGAAAATAACTGATACTTATGTATTTACCAAAATTAATAATAATAATATACATTATTATTATAATATATATATATACATATGTAATGTATAGTAACCATAGTGTTACTGTATTTTACAAAATACTAGTATAGTAGTGCTAAGAGTAAGAGATTTGTACTTCATTTTAATACAGAAAATTTTCAGAACATATAACTGTATATTCAAACAAACAGTAATCACTAAATAATTTGTTTGTAAAGTGATAAGCAAGAAGGCTAAGTCAAAAATCCAAAACAAGCCATATTTATATTACTGGAAACTATGCACTTATTGGTTTCTGTGTAAGCATGGTAATATATGAAACAGGATATTCATAAGCACTTACACACTTTTACACTTATACTAACACTAAATCATGACCACCCAGGAGGTTAACTAGCATCCAAATGCTTAACAAGTTTATTGGATCAGATAAAACTTTGTAGAGAGCCATATCAAATATTTTCTATCAGTTCTATAAAGTACTCTAGACAATTCTTGTTGCAACTACTGTACTGTAAAGAAGCCAATAAATTCTACCTCACTGTGTTTTCGGAGCCAGGAATCAAATAAACTCTGTAAGAAACATCTGCTTAGATTTATTGGATTGGCCCGGACTTTCTACAAAGTCAGAATATAAACATTTTAAAATACTTTAGACAACTGTCGCTGAAACCATTATACTGTCAACAAGTTCATAAACCCTACTCCACTGTGTTTTCAAAGCAGGGAAAGTTCTGGGAATTTTGCCACTTAAGCTTATTTGATACCAATGGTGTCAAACTAAGTAAGGAGAAATGATTCATTGCAGGTTTCTGCTTCAGCTGCTAATAGTAGAATAAACATAGGAAATAGGTATGAAAAGGTGAGAAGTAGAAACTCTGACCATAAGTTCTTTAAAATACAGTATATACTAACAATACTGTACACTTTATTTTGCACTTTGTAATCTTTATTTTCATTATACTTTGATAACTTCTCTTACATCCTGGAAAATCAAGTATAATGTTACAGTAGAGAAAGTGACACATAAAATACAAAGCATTACTGAAGAGTGTTTGATATTTAATTATGAGGTTTTATATTTTTCATTTGTTTTCTTTATTTATTATTATAAAAGTAACTAAAATGTAAAAAAAACAGAAACTTATTAGGTAAGATAAGGAAAAAAATAAAAATCTTCCTATGATATACTAATGAGCAGCTTGTGTATTACACTATTCGATACGGTAATGTAAGCTGCACGTGTGCCATGTAATTTTCAACTTGTGTCGGGGTATTTCTAGTCATACATGATTCAAAGGTCAATAAAACAAAAAAATAATAAATATAAATAGATGTATACTGTTATAAGAATTAAACTATTTAGAATAAACATTTGTGGTTTCCTATTGCAATTTGCAGTCATTCTAGAACAAAATAAAGAGTAATTCAGATTTATTTCCTAATTTTATGATGGTTACAAGGTTAGTAAAATAAACTAACACCACTCAGGCATTCGGACTAGTAGAAAAAAAAGACCCAATATATTCATGGACAAATCTTTTTTAGCTTCTTACAAGTACCTTCCTAAAAAATCTGATTTGTTTACTGAAACTCTGTCAAATTTTGTGAAGATACACATACTACATTAAAAGTTAGTCATACCAAAACTATAATGACTTTAAATGTGTACAAAGTGGTCAAGTGGTTGGTCAATTTGACAAAGCCCATGTGGAAAGAGATAAGCAATACACATACAAATGATTTTCAGTATTTGTTTGTCTGTCTTGCTGTTAAGCACAAAGCTACACAAATGACTTTCTACACTGTACTCACCAAAAGTATCAGAATTCAGTTTTTAGCATTATAACTTACAATTGGTGTGAGGGTAACACACAATATCTAAATGTCTATAAATTAGAGTGCATACTCATAATATCTTACATAGATGTGGAATATACCAGTAAATAAATACCCAGTACAAATTTTTTTTTAATGATTTTACTAAGTTTCTTACCTCCATGAGACAGGACTTTCCTATATGGTTCAATAACTTTGACATCAATTTTTCTTTCTTCACCACCAACTGTACAAGTCCTCCAGCTTCGTTCATCGTACATCTCCTCAGCAGCTGACAATTCAGGAATAAGTTCACTGGCTGTATCTAGTATCAAATACAAGCCAAATTGGGACAAACTAAAACCAAATACTCTCTACTTTAAGAACTGCTTTTATTCTCTGAAATTGAACAATTGAAATAGCAGTATTAGTTTTTGGTTTGTTTTTTTAAGTTCCGAGGCTGCTTACAACCACTGGGGAGCCTTAGATGTTGATGCACCATTGGTGTTTCTCAGGTATATTTAGCTAATGGCACCCACCTGCTCTCTAAGAAACTGTTCCTAATTTAGCAGTGAAAGACTAGAGGGAAGCCAGCTAGTCAAGACTGCCAATGCTTGAGCTACTCATTTACCAACAAATAGTGGGATTGGCCATCACATTATAATGCCCATGTGGCTGAAAGTTTGAACATGTTTAGCAACAGGGGTTTGAACCTGCAACCCACAGAGACGAGTCGAACACCCTAACCACCAGGCCAAACCCTATTAGGTACTCCTAGTTAAAACTAATTTGTTGAAGTTACTAATCTAGGCAAATGTTAAGAAAGTATTGAATGTTAGCACGACATGTGTAGAACTGAAGCTAAGTTTATACTTAACTAAAACTTAATGTCAAGAAAATCTCAATCTGAAAGAAAAACTAAAGTTTTATTAAAATCACACTAACTATTCACTCTTTCACTAACAGATAATCAGTATCTCATACATTATTGCATACTTTCATTCATTTTGTTAGAACCTGTTTCTATTATTATTAATATATAGTGCTAGTATATATATATATATATATACATGTATGTGTACATATGGGGATTATCAAGTTCCACCAACAAGAATGCAGCCGCTATCTAAAAAGTTTAAATCATGAAAAATAATACATGTTACAGTCACTTTATGATTAAAATATCCAACTCTCAACTGACAACAGCACATCCATCAAAATGCTATCAGAGTAATATTAAACCCCTAATTTTAAAATCCTGATTTCTACAAGCAAAAATTACTTACAAGCTAGCTTAATAAATCTTAAGACTAACATTTTCATCCCACACCATTTCTAAATATTATTTTTCAAATCATGTCCTTCACCATATCAATTAACATACTTATGGATTCGGCTAATAAAAGATACTCCACGAACTTAACTCAATTAACATGTAGACCGTCTCAATGTAACTAACACATGGATAGACAAGGCCAAAAAGCATTTCAACAATAAATTCCTGCAACAAGAATGAATGTTTACAATATCAGAATCCTTCAAATAGGAAATACAGATATACACACACACTACAAGTATAAACCAACCAAACAGATATAAATATTTGTTATTTTCTGACAACAGTAAGTAGCAATTAAATAAAAACAAATGTTTAATGCCAACATAAGAGGAACACGAATATAAGAAATACAAGTTTATTCCTTCAAACCTTAACTCTTTTGTGAAACAAAAATTACACTTAATTACTACTATGAGAACTCTGTATATTTCATTTGAAAAAAATTTCCTCAATAAGAAATAAACCCTCACCATGTGTAGAAAGTAAGATTTAGTTTTCAGTTCTGTTTTGAAATATTACACTTGTTTTCCTCAAAATAATATTCATACTACTATAAAGCTCAACTTGAGAATTATAAACAATTATTTATACTTCATTAGGCTACAAAATACTCTTTACAACCTAGAAACTAATCAAATTTTTGTACACTGTTAGAAAAATAGTTACACGTGTATTTTTAAGATAAATCTTTTTACTTTAAACTATTTTATAAGGGACAAATATTACTTTAAATCACATAAAGAAGGACAGTTTTAACAAGAACAAAATTTATATGCTCTACATAACTAGCAGCTAAAAGTCTTCTTTTAGTCTTCTATGCTGGTTAGACCAACAACATAATCTCAAAGATTCACAAGAAATACTTACATTCTAGAACAGAATCATCTAGATCATCTGGGGTGTCGATATCATCGGGGGTGAAGTCATCAACAGGTGACATAACATCTGCATCACTTTTGTTGCTGATGGATGAGAAGCTTCTCTGGTCATCATCATTGTTATCTGAGGCAAGGATGTCTGGATGAACCGATATTTTCTTCTTCCTAACTGCTGAAAAACTTGATGGGCGCTCTGAAAAGCAACAGTACTTTTTCAAACTTAAGTTACAATAGAATGTCAGATTATGTAACTCAAACAAACTTTTGCTTCTTCAATCAGAAACTGGGTCTTCAACATATACAATGTTAGAAAAATATTTATTCCTCTGGGTTGTCACTACTTTCTGAAGAAAGAGAACTGTACATAAATTAAAAAATGCTTAAAATGCATAATTTTTATAATGTTCAGTTTTTACTAATAACTCAGCACCATATACTTTAATTAGGTTTTTTTTCCTACTATACCCACAACCGATCTTTGATTCTCTTAAAGTTATAAGCTTAAATGAAATGCATAGTAATTTTACTTGTAAGGTAACAGCTGAAAATAATGTTATAATTCTTTCAAACATAACCACAAACACACACACACACACATATATATATATAAAGAGAAATATAAACAGTTATAAAGTTGGTTGTGCCCAAAACACACTAAGATATAAAGTACTAGTATATATACAAGCATTACATTATCGTTACCACATTACCTTCATATATCTGATCAACACTAAAAAAAACAAATACACTCAATTTGTAAAACATAATAATATAAATTAATTGAGCAACTATCACGAAAATGTCAAGCAGATTTCAGACACACACACACAAGGATTACTGGTTACAAAAGGTTATTAGTCATTTAAAACGCATCACCATGTAACTACCATGTCTTTTTTATAAAGGTGAAGAAGGGTTAAAAAATAGTGGTTTAGTCACTGTTTGTTTAGTCCAGAAGCACACATGTGTAAGTGGAAACTCTGGCTGGTTAATTGGATCCCACATTCAACAAAAACACATACTGTTGAGAAAAGTAAACCGACCTGGCTTCTGCCCTATATCACCAACTTCACTGATGCAGTTTAAGTCCTGTGTGTGTTGATCTGCTCCAGTTTGTTGGAAAATCTTAGTCATTCCTGAACTGCTTATATTAGACAATTTTTTCATCTGAATATCGTCACTGCCTCGTCTAGCATGAGCATATGGATGTCCAGTATTATCAAAACATCTTTCAGTTGTTTTAACAAAGTTTCCTGTAGAGGGAACACGCTCTTTCACTTCAATAGCATCATACCTTCCCTGTTTCTCAAAATCTTGACTGGGAAATTTTTTTTCTTTTATCGTTTCATTTGAATTGCTTTTAAAAATAACTCCATTTGAACTCATTACTGGTGTTCTAGTTGCATACTCTTTCTTAATGGAAGTTACAACTTCCTCTAGTTTAATGGGATCCAAGACTAATGAATTACTAAACAAGTTATCCTCACATGCAGTTTGAATGTGTAATGTACCAGTGTCAGATGGAAATTCAGATTCTAGTCCTGGGGAAATCTTCTTTAAAGTTGAAGTACTTTTTATTAAACTTTCTTCAAAAAATGCTCGGATGTTTGAAGAAGGCGTAGTCATATAAACATTCTGTCTTTGAGGAATGTTTGTCAAAGTAAAATTTTGTTGATGCTTCTGCTTGTTTTCTTCACTCTTCCTGTAACCCTCAAAAATTGCTCGGATTTTTATATCGCTCATTACATCACTGATCTGATCTTTATTTGCATGAACCATTTTTTTATGATGAAATACAGTATTTTCTCCCTCAGCTTGGTTGTTTTCTTTCTCATTTAAATGATGGAGGTTTAGATTAGAATATGCAATGGAAAATATTTCAAACAAGTCATCATCTATATATTCAGAATATAAATTACTATGCATAAGAACTTCCTCAATTTCTGCTGGGCTCAATATATCCTGTATGCGTCCACTCAACATGAAGGTATCTTTGATGCGTTCCTGATCAAAGCAACTTTTCAATTTTAGCAACAACAGATTGTCACAATTATCATCTGATGCTTTTTCTTGAAACAAAAATCCTTCGGTCTGTTGATGATTGGAACCATTAATTCCTTTTATCTCCTTTTTGGCAAAAGGAGTGGAAGAGTCAGTGGGATGGCTATTAATTACATTAGTACTGAGAACTGTAGTTAAAGAGAAGTCTAAATTCCTTTCAGAAACATCAGAGTTTTCATTTTCAGAAAAGAGATTATTAGAGTCATAAATGTCTTCATCTGTTAAACTGATATATTCTTCAGCAGTAGAAAGCGAAATTGGTTTCCCTGTCATAAAGCTATCTTCATAATACCCATCTCCATCAGAAGAAAATCCATCATATAGCTCAACTCCATCTGTTGTAACAGGGACCAGCAGTAGCCCTTCTGTAAATTATTTTGTAAGGACCGAGAAAATGGATTATACATGCATTTCATGGGGACAAAACACTTGTATGAAAATATTAATAATATGATACAAAAAAATTAAACTGTTAAATATCTCAGATGGAGTTACAATAAACAAATAATTTTGATTAAACAAACATTTGCTAGTTCATTAATTGCACACCTTTTGTCTTCAGAAAATTATAAACATGCTTTGTTACATCAACACAAAACTACTTCACAGAAAAATAAAAATTTGTCTTAAAAGTTACAATAATAACTGTAAGGTAAAGCTTAACAGCCTTTATCTATCAACTGAAAAGCCAGATCTAGCACTGTTAAAAAACAAAATAAAATAAAAACTCTCTTCAACTATCTACATTTTTGGTTTTTAACACAGACCTTAAAATATTGTAAAGGACAAAAAATAAAGGATTGTTTTTGAACTTCACACAAAGCTACATGAGGGCTATCTGTGCTAGCCATCCCTAACTTAGCAGTGAAAGACTTAGGCTACTCTTTTACCAACGAATAATGAGATTGACCGTCAAATTAGAATGCCCGCACGGCTGAAAGGGCGAGCATGTTCGATGACGGGGATTTGAACACGCAACCGTCAGATTTTGAGTCAAATGCTCTAACCACCTGGTCATGCCGGACATAAAAAAAAAGATGTAGAGTTAGCTATGTAATTTCCTAATAAAGATAACTTACCAAAGTATATTTTACCATGTTAATAACTATTACTGATATACTAAAAAGAGACATCTTCCCTCTGTGTTATTACAAAATAGCTTGAATTTGTACATGGAAAAATTAATAATTCTTAGTTTCAATGAGTTCAAGGTTTTGTTATCAAAAGTTATCATCAAAGTATTTAAATTAAGACATCTTCAGAAATTTAAAAGGAAAAAAAAAAAGATTTTTCTGAACAAAAGAGTTTAAAAATTGAAATAGCTACATGCTAAGCACCTGAAGTACAAAGAAATCTGCTTGAATATCAAGAGCTGAACGTGAATGTCAAGTAGCCCTATGGCATTATAGTAGCTACAGGTATAATACGCAGTAAAGGACTAATCATGAAAAACATCGTGCAAAATTACACAGCATAATACACTAGAATTTATACATTCAAAAACCATGTGCAAATCTGACTTTTAGGGATAGTGCAGACAAACAAATTACATTGAGTAGTTGGGTATTAGAAAAATGAGAAAGGCTTTTCACACTGAATGAAACAGGATGTTATAAGTAAATGTGAGTCAATGCATTTGGATTTGTTGTCTGGTGGTATGGGAAATATTATATAATTGTCAGTTGCATATTCATAATAATACGATTCTAAATATATTTATACTAGTCTCCTTGAAGATACTAATGTCACTTTTAATAAAATATTTGGATACTTGTTACATAGTAGAATGTTAAATGATATGACAACAGTGATGTGTTTATAATGTCTGATGAACTGTTTGATAGGTCTAAACCAAAAGGTTTCTCATGCAACAGTTCAGGTAGATTTTTCTGTACCTCCAAAATGCACCTACTCTTCACTTATTTCCTGAGTCTCGAATTAATTCTTTAATCACCACATTTTTAGTAAAAACTATGCAGAAAAATGAAATGTTATCATGAACAAAAGTAAGTGTGCATGCTGAAAGAGACTCAAAAAGCACTCTTGAGCCTTTTTAGTGTATTCTTGGTCAGGAAATTGAAAACATAGTGTGGACATTCCAACACAAATTTTCAAGTCTTTCGACTGTACAAAGAATAAAAGACATTTATCTTTCTTTATGTTTTAAGGCCAAGTTGATAATATATGTGTTAAAATACGAAAAGAATATTTATTGATTAACATTTATTCTCCAATTAAAACTTTTTAAACACTTACTCTATAATGTTAGTAATAGTAGGCTATTTGTAGTCTAATTTAATACATAAATGTAACGTAAGGCTTAGCCCGAAACACTACTTAGTAAATTCTATTTTGCTTTTGGCTACAACTCAATGTCATAAAACTTCTGAATTAAAATATTTTGCTGTTATATCATTTAAATTATCAAAAAAAAAAAGAATAAAAATAAACCTTTCTTACAAATCAACATGAATATTGAGCATTTAACATAAACACCATAGTTGGCCTAAGAACAATCAGGTGATAGTTTTATAGCTAAGCGACAGTTTATATTGTTGAGCATTGCAACAAAAGAAGAATGGTATTGTAAGAATTCAGATTGTTTATGGTTTTATGGATGATGTAACATACATACTAGAACACACAATATTCTGTTGGCTTTGATTATGACATTAACTTATTGAATTAATTAATTTTGTTATGATTTGTAATACTGACATTTTAAAACTTTTTTTTTTATGGAATTTCCATTATTTTATTTTTTTCTTTGAGGTCTGTTCCAAAAAAACTCGCATTAAGTCAACAGTAATGGTATAAAGATCACTTAACTATAAAAGGCTTATTCCCTTTTTCACTCTATCAAGAATGCTTTCGTGCCCATGTAATACTTATAGTTACAGAAATAAAAATCTCAATAGTTCCAATTAGGTAACAGGACTTTGTATAATAAGGTGTACAATGTATGTAAAAAAGTTTGTGACTTCTTTTTAATTAGCTTATTTATTTACTTTAACTATCCATAATTGCAATCTAGATCCCTAAAAATGCTAAGTTTGTTTATTGAGAGTTCTTTTAATATATTTTGAAGTTATTTTAGAATAATCAAAAAAAAACAAAGGTTAAAACACTATAATGCACCAAATCTGTCAATTAATGAAGTTTTGAAGCTAAAAAAATAGTTAACATTCAGCTTGCATAAACTTCTAAATATCTTTATAATCATTATGTTTATCCATAAAACAAATGAAGTATAAGTAACAGAAAAAACATAGCATGACTGAAACTACTACTAAAATAAGATGGTAAATATTCTTCTGATATTTAAATCTCAGATCACAGACATATACTGACTAAAACTACAAGTAAACTCAATCAGATGGTAAATATTCTTCTGGTACTTAAGTCTCAGATCATAGAGACATACTGATTGAAATTACAAGTCAAATGAGATGGTAAATATTCTTCTGGCTACTTAGATCTCAGACTACAGAAAGAGACATCTCAACTACAGCTACGAGTAAAATCAGATGGTAAATATTCTTCTGGTAGTTAAATCTGAAAGTATAAAAATTATGAATTTGTGTATGAAAGATGAGTCATTACTTGATTTACCTGCCCACTCACAAGGAAATATTTAGATAAAATAGAAGGACACACTGCTATAAAGACAAGAGGAAATAGGTCATTTGTCTCTTGAGCAATTTCAAAATTTCTAAAAGATAAAAAAGTAGCACAACTAGTGATAAGTTGTTGAAGATGTTTATTACTCAAGAGATAGACAGCTAAGTTATTCAAGCAACATACCTCGTCTGGAATGTTGCTCATCAGCAGACTGCACTGAACCTTTTCTATTTTCACTCCATGTTAATTCATCATCGTCTGGACCCAATCCCTAAAACAATCATTCAGAAAAGATTAGTAACCATTAAATCAAAATTCTTCTAACTTCGCTGGTCTTGTGCTATATACAGTGCTTGAGTTGTAAAAAAATTAACAAGTGGAACGGTCAGGTTTGATGTCCAATTTGCGAACAGCAGTCCCATGCTGCACAAATCTGCTTGAGTAATTGAACAACAGGAATGATTTGATGAAAAAAAAAAGTTAACAATTGGAACAGCACTCTAGTTCGTTACGCCTCAACTCAAGCACTGGCTATATGTTCTGCAACATGAGCTTGCACACCAAAGTGCTAAAATATCTCAAAATAAGTATAACACTGTTTTAAAGAATTTTTACTATATTTAATCCAGAAGTTTACAGTTGAGAATCAACTGGTTATGGAATCAGACTCTGTTGCTTTTTAATATATTCTCAAGTGGGTAAATTTTCTACATTGTAAAGCTGTGCTCATTTCATATATGCAAGTAATTACAGTAACAATCCAAGTATACCTGTCAAGTGCAATAATGATGATAAATCCTGTAAGTTACACATATAAAGGTTAGTTAAATTTTTCAATAATTAGAAATCACAATTGAATACTACAACTCTAACTTAAAGAGTTATAGCAATCAATATCTGTTGTATTAAATGGAAATGAAGTACCGAATACGGGCTATCACCTTGACAGATTCGATGCGTATTTATTAATAATTATGCAAACAGCTTTAGTGGAGCAAAGACAACACAGTCTTGAAAATAGTTTGTCACCCGTGATTTAAGAATTAATATAATAATCATCATTATAATATCCTAAAATTGAAACATCTTCATTCCACATAATGAGATCAATATTGAATAGCAGACAAAATGTGAAAAACATTAATGCAAGAGGGAGACTGAAGGATATATAAAGCTTGACAAATAAATTATCATTGTTAAGCAAGTCTTCTTAGGAAGAACATTGAGAAAAGTTAAACATAAGTTGTGTGAAGTCGAACTGAACGTCTACACCAATAGGCCAACCTGTTACACTGCCAAAGGGTGATAACTTAACATGCTGGTAGGGCTCGATTAACAAATTTCACCCGACAATATCACGTTACAGAACACATTATGTTAGATTTATAAACATATATTACCTTACATATTTGTAGGATTTTCATACTACTACATACACTACTAGTACTTTGTATGTAACGTTATTACCTTTGCTACTGATATTTCTTAATTAATATCATAGTATATCTGCACTTATTATTACTAATTTCATTGATAGGTCATATATAAACGTTTGTTTCCTTCACTTTTTCATTATGGTCATATCTTTGAATATCTAATATCTTGAACTTAACGATACGAGTTAGCAATTATATCATGACATAGAAAAGGTGGAGTTTACTACTCGTACATATCTGTCAATCACGATATTTCAAGTTTTCACCCAATTGTGATTACAAATCTCTCCTTTACTTTCATAAGTACATTCTTTATTTATAACATTTGTATGATGAAAATTTTCATTTAATTTATCCTGCCTTGACACAGATGTTACGTTGTATCAGGTCACCAGGTAAAGCGATAAATCGGTGACATTTTGTTAACATTGTTCCAAAAAGGAAGGTAGCATGGAACAAAAGGTTGATTTACAGGTACAATTTATAATTGTTTTTCATTAATTATGAAATAAATAATTGAACTTGCAGCACAAATCTACTAATTTGTGTCTGTGCAATTTTTTGTTATTTTCATTAATTAAAAATCACCGAAACCCACTAATAATAAAACTGCTTAGGATACTAATTTTATTATATTAATTTTTTTCCCTAGTTTGTAGTTAGTTGTATGCAATCACAAATAAGATATCAGCTAGTATGAGCAAGAACCAGTGACTGGCAATATCAAATGACAATATGCACATGAGAAGTGTGTAAAGATTGTTTGTATCATGCTATGTACAATGTGACTGAAGGGTTCTATGGCTCACCCTTTAGTATTGGTAATGAGAAAATAGTTCTTCTTGTACATCTAACTTTTACATCAAGATAAAGATTTACCAGCACAAGCCTCTCAAGAAAGTCTCATCTAAATTTCATGTTAAAATACAGATACCTGAGCCTCTCGAGTTCTTTGCTTCAGAAGTTTCAAATGTTGTGGGCTCTCAGGAAAGTCTACAGTTTCTGCCTGATAGCTGTTAGCATCAAAACCAAACTCTTCGTGTTCCTGTTCTAGTTCCAGGCTATACTCTTCTACAACTTCAGCCTTCTTTTCTTCTTTCTTCTCTGTGCCACTACAGATATAGTGCCACAAAAGTTGCATGTCAAAAAAGTTGGCCAATCTAACTTATGTATACAAGTGATTGCAAGTAAAAATGTCATTCTTTATACTCTTTAAAAATCACAGAGTTTGAAAAGTAATTTAAAAGAAAATATCAAAGCTGTCAGGTAATCAATGGTTGTTAAAGAATTTTCTACAACCTTTAGACAATTAAAAAGAAAACATAATTAACTAATTGCTAGAAATATCCAAAATTAAGGCAAACTGTAAGAAAAAAATTAGACAATACAAAAACCAACAACAGCATAACAAGCATGCATAAAAAAATTAAAATAACTCATAACTGAAATGTGATATCTAAGAGATGATGTACGAGACCATGACAAAAAATTAATTATTTTGTTGTAGTCCTACATCTTTTACTACTATCCAAAAGTTCTGTCATCATTCAAGAACCATGCCTTATTAAGATCTATGTTAAATAAATAAAAGCTAAAGAACAAAAGGAGAAAACTAAAATAGGATGTTCTTGATCACACAGTTTCTAATGTTTTTGTTCTCATTAATAATCAACGATTTTAAAAAGTAACTGCTATGCTGCAAAACACTACTTACTACTGAGTACGTGAAGTTTCTTTAAGCATTCTACTTCAAACAATAATCACTTTGAAAATTTCAATCTACAGTGCTTCCGACACTAAAAATTGCAATTACAATTGCAATAAAAAATACAATTACAAAATGACTTAATTTGTTACTGTTTGAATATTTTAGATCACAGTTGGTGAAAAATTTCTTAGATAAGGGTCTCAAAAAGCTGTATGTGGTTATATTCTATACAGTTTCTAGGCTTTTCTGTTTCACACTTCATGCATATAATTAAATTTCAAACTTAAGGTGAGTTTAGTTCAAATTTGTAGCTGACAGATCAAGAACAGGGTGTACATAAGCAACCAATCATAAAAGCTTAGAAAAATGGACTTCTATTTATGAGAGTTTAAAGTTTATAGTGCAAAATGGAAAGTTGTATGCATTGTTTATTAACTTAAGCCAACGTTTCACTATTACAGCTTCATCAGGGCAATCAAGAAACTTAATAATTCAAGTCTGCATAATAACGTGGACTTAATGCAAAAATATATAAACATAATTGTTGTAAGATTATATTGCTGTACATTGTGAAACTGAAAGTACATACTAACACACAATGTTATACTATTTAAACATACACAAGATATGTTATTATGCTAATTAAATACAAACAGTGATAGTTTAAAATTCCATGTTGAGTTTTTGTGGCTTATTCTCTGAAATTAATAGAGTTCCTCTAATTTTTCTATCTAAAAATCTGTGACAGTGGGTAAGAACTTCGTTGCTATAGGACAATCAATATCAGTTATACTGTGTTTGTCAACAAAATGTTCAGTCACAGCATTGGCTTACGAAAATGTTGCTTTCCAAGCATGTTCGTGGAATCCTCCTCTGTCTTGGTTTGTTAAAATGATCAGTTCTCAAAGAAAAGTTATAATGAAAATTATTAGTAGTTTAGTTATATTACCTTACACCACCATGAATACAGGAAGTAGGCAATGGCAGTTTTTCAACAGTGCCATCTGGTAGTGACTATGTCAACAAACTATCTCATCAGTTTTAAACATGTTATCTTAAAAGAACAGATGGATTTATACAAAGGTACAAATATGTCATTACGAAAGCTACTGATATTAATACATTTATGTTATCGATATTATGTGTATCATGAAACAATCCTTGAAAACTTCCTCACTGCCTTAAACCTGAGAAATGGAAATATACAAGTTCCAAAACTCCTTACGCAGAGGTCTCTAATGCCTTAAACCTGAGTAATCAGTTCCACAGAGTAGAGTAGCCTTTACCTGTCTTTTGCCGTTTCTGAATCACAAGTATCTGGAGAAGTTTTTCCTGAAAGCAGTGATGACTTTTCACTCTCTCTGTCAGAACCAGTCTCATTCTTGACAAAGTTTTCCGAAGCTGCAATTGTACCATCCATTCTACCAGGAAAAGAAAATAGATCTATACACACATTTGCAATAGGTAGTTAACATACCAAGAATAACATCAACTTATACAGAAATGCTCGTTCGTGATGACTTACTTTTAAACTGTTAACTTGGAATATCAGTGTGAGAAAAACTTCCCAATTTTATTGTGTGCAACAGTATTTGCTTCCCGAGTATTTAGTTATATTTCTTTTAAGATATCTATGAAAAGCTACTCAAGGCCTACCTGTGCTAACTGTCCCTGATTTTGGACTGACAGACTAATGGGAAGGCAGCTACTCAATGGAACCCACTGCAAGTTCTTGTCTGGCCAAGTAGATGGATTCAACTGTCAACCTTATAACACACCCACGGCCTCAAAGTGTGGATAGCATTACATTTGTTTTTTGAGATAATGGGATGCACTCAATGGATCCACAAGTCCATAATCTGGCACACTAACTACTGGGCCAAACTTAGCCTATATGTTGTTTATTTAAGTGTAAAGTGATTTTCTTCTATATGCATTCATAATACAGGCACATTTTATAGCTAGGAAGAGGCTGCACATGATTCTTTTAATGTTATTAGTGTTGATAACAGTACTATACATACTGTGGTTCGACTACGAAGTTACTTTCACATTTTCCATATTATAAAAAAAGGATATAATGTATATGAAACTCTTTTCTAAAAGTGCATGAATTGGAACAACGATTGTTCAAGGGATTAGTTTGTAAAATTATTAGCATAAAGATAC